TGAGGACTCTGTGTCCTCAATCTCTTTTTCTATTTTTAAAGGGAAATATCAGGGTTCTGTTTAGACCCCCAATATTTCCCAGAAGCCCCTAAAAGTAAAGTAAAAAATAAAAATATGTAATACAAAATTAATTAATAAATAATAATTAATTTAGAAAAATGAAAAAGTTTCTAAAAAAATAAAATATTAAAATTTGAAAAATTAAAATAAAAACATGTGTGTGTGGGGGGGAGGTGCAGGGTACAGTTCCAGTGGTTGTTTATATAATGGGGGGGGGGGCGAAAAAAAATTTCTGCCCCGGGCGCCCAGAACTCTGGTTACGCCACTGTTTGTGTTATCATCTCCATCTGGAAAGCGTGACACCTGCATTTAGCTATATGTTGGCTGCAGCAGTTGTGGAGCTGGGAATTGTGATGGGTGCATCTCACCACTAGAGTGATAGATCTGATAGATATCAGAATCCTGAATGCTTTATTGTGGCAGTATAAACAAAAACTTAAATGTCAAGTTTGGATGGAGTTGGCCTCTAACCCTTTTTCCTTCTTTGTTCTCTTCTCTATTTCTTGTTTTTCCTTGCACAGGCCTCTTTAGTTTAGCATGGGTTAAATTTCTGTATCTACTTTGTAGAAATCTATTAATCAAAACATTTGCTGCTCAGTCTGTCCACTGCTCTTGCAAAAGTCAATAGCAGTTATGCAGAGGACGGAGCTCCTAAGTCCCGGAATTAAGTGACTAGGGGACGAATCAAGGTCAGAGGTGTTGTGAGTCTGAGAAGTGCATTGGTCAGGCTAAGCTGACCAAGTATAAAAATGTATTACATGCTAGTCAGCTAGACATCTGTTCCTGTGACATCTGGGAAGACCTTAGGGATAATGAGGAGAGTGTAACAACCTACATATTGACCTAAGGAACTGAGCTGGTCTACTATAGCAGCAGTAGTTCCCTGTGGTATACTTTTCATCACAATGACGGGGTGACTATTGTACGTGCTGTAGATCTGTTTTTACAGAGTCAACATTTTGAAAGTAATGCCATGGCATGCCACCCCCACCCCTATGAACAGTCAGCAGTAAATGGTTACTCCAGTAGTTTTGTAAATCAGGCATGGATGTGAATGTACTTGCACCATATGCATCTACTTTTTTACAGTTACATGTAACTAATGCCTTAGGAAACCTATACAGTTGTTTCAACCTTGTTCGATATTATAACTGGCACTGGCAAATAAGGAAACTGAGTCTGCTGTGGAGAAACAACACAGGATAACCAATGTTAATACTGCCCACATAAAACAATATATAAGTATAAAAAGGGAATTTACAGATCACTTCCAAAACAAAGCCAAATCTTTTATGCCCCCTGTGTCCACTGTCAACCTTGACCCTATTTGCTTATATCAGAGATATAGTCTATAGTCAATATACACTGAGTGGCCAGATTATTATGACCACCTGACGTTTGTAGGCAAATTAGCTATAATTAGCTATAATTTTGCGCTGAAGTTGCTAGAGGGCCAGACCATTATAAATAGGGAAGCTCATTGTTAAAGTGTTTAAAGACTGGACTGTCAGCCGAAAATCTGGGTCTCAACTTGCGAATTGTGGCCGTCAGCGACTAGTCAATGTTAGGGCAGAACGGAGAGTGCCAAGACTGGTACAAGACAAAAGAAGGGCAACAGTGCAGTGTCGGATTCCTCGCATCACCTTTCAACATCTTGTGGAGTCACGAGGCGGCCCAATGAAGTCATCTCGTGGAGTCATCTCGTGGCCCAACGAAGTACTGATGGTGTGGTCATAATAATCTGGCCAATCAGTGTATAAAGCCATTTATGCAGCTGTTCATCCACAACTGATGGTTTATCAGGTACAGCTTAAATATAGAACCAGTTACGGTACTGTACAACCATACCATAGCTGCACCCTAAGTATCACGGGAGGAGTGGGAGCTTTTAGCCTGGGGGGTGCAAAACAGGCAGTTGGACTTTTCATTGTAGGGACAGTTGTATATCTAGTGAGAGAGAGAGATCCTGCTCCTGTTCAGACCTCTAACAGAGCAGGCCCTTTATTCAGTGACAGATGTTAGGCATCATATAACTACTTGCTGCATATTCAGACCTACGATCACAACACCTGGCAAAGGAAACTCTTCCAGCATTGACTTCCATTGTGACACTCCATATTCAGTCACATAGCATCAACAAGAGCAGCAAACTGAATAGGTGCTGAGGAATTTGCTCAAACAAGTGCTGTTATCACAGGCCTGAAGTGGGAACAGAAATGTATAAAATAGCGAGCAGCTGTCACTGACTGCAGATACTGAAGTATCTCCACATATGGTCCTGAGTCCTAAGATCCAGAATCACTATATTGCCCACATACAGCCTAAATATAGAGTCATTTTCCAACTGTATATAGTACAGGAAGTTAATAGGAATCTCCATAATGATTGTAAAAAAAATGGCTTTAGATATACTTTGTATAAAGAATACCACTTAAACTCCATATTGTCTACATTACTTTACAAACTGTATCACTGGTTAGCCTCATCTCATGCCATTGGGACAGCAGCAGTTAGTCTTTGTGAGTTTCATAGAGTGAATTCTTTGTTTAACCTCACAGGGGGATTTGCTGATTACTAGCTGTTCTTACAACACAGAAGACAGAAGTCGAGTCACGGTGGTAAGAGCCTAATGCCTATATCCTTAAACCTTTTCTTGTCACCCTCTTGGGGATCACATCTTGTACACAGCAAAGAACTAATGTTGGTTTATTGCCGGATCACATAAGCTCTGCTTGCTGTTTTGATCTTTTCATCTCTCTCGTTATTTTTCTGCTTGGAGTCAAACTCAGCAATTGGTAACCTTAAATGTTATTGTTAGATATAAAGAGTAGATAATGTTGGTCCTGGGTACTCTTGTACTTTGCCCTGTCTCTTGGACAATACATTTGATGACTTGCATCTGAAGTCAGCAGGGACATTACAAAATGGTTGAAAAAATGTACTCTCTCTATATCTTGGATTTCCAATACCACTATTACAAATTTTAAACACCTCAATTAGTTTCACACTAAACCTTTTTTTTAAACTAATACATTTTATTTTTGCATTATATCACTCCTTCCCTAACTGAAAATGGAAACATTACTTGTTTTAAACTTGTCTTTTCTGGATCCACCAAAAGCTAAAATATTTTTGTTGGACTGACCCTTTAATAATATTAAAGAGCTTAAACTCATGTTATATTAATTTTGTTCCCTTACTGTGTATGTAAATGTTATACTCTGTAATCCTTTTTTCTGGTGCTGCAGGGTGGATTCAGTATCACAGATGAGATGTGTGTGAACTATATACATTATTATCCTCGTACTGAGCTGGAACTGTGCAAGAGTCACGTGGATCCAGGATATCTGCGAAAATACTTCAATTTGGTAAACAGGTCAGTGACACAGTGTGGACAAGGAATCCATGAAGGACACCTGTCACAAGGGAAATATGAAAGGCTACCGTTGTGACCTGTCTTTCTGATGGCAGTCAAGTTACCTGTTTTGCTTCAATACTTTGAGATACTGATGTACTGCAAGCATGCAGGTAAGGACTTACGGCTCTAGCCTGACTTGACTGATCTTCACATTTGTACTGGTCAGTAACCTAGAAAATATCAAAACATTTGAATCCTCATCTTGCTGTGAGTCCACTCTATATGATTGTGCCTATGTGACTGAACAGTAGATTCTTGGCAGTTCTTCAGTCATAGAGAACAACAGCAATGCTCCTCTTAGCCAGACCTCATATGATCTTTGCCTAGGCTTTAGTTCAAGGCAAAAAATTGTTTTTTTTATTTAAAGAAATAGTATAATGTGGTTCTGCTGACTTGTGTCCAACTGATTATTAATGAACCTGATTAAGGAGGTTCAACTTCTTATTTCTTATTTTTCAGGTCCTTGGCTGTGGCCAAAACAAAATGTACACTTTACTTTGAAAAGGGACACCAGAGTCACAAGTACATTAATAGAGACAGGTGTCTGGTCATCAGGATGTCCAGTAGAATGCTGCCTCATTTTTGTGCCAGCAACATTATCTCCTGTGTCATGGCTCCCTGAGGCACTGTGTCATTGTCACTGTGTCACCAGGGCTCTTGTCATTGCAGGTTCATCGGTGACGAGGTCTGCACCTGTCCACAGGCAGCTGTCACTGAACAATTCAACGAAGTGCCCTGGAATTCTTTTACCAGTGATGTTCTCAATTCCCTTTATGCCTACTCCCCCATCTCCATGCACTGCAACAGATCATCCGCTGTCCGTTTTCCGGTAAGTGGGCAACAGGGTAAAAAACAACACACAATAAAAAGGTACCAGTGCTCAGGCTTCTCACCATACCTTCACTTTG